GATAACGATTTCGCAAGTACATTCCTTGCGGTCAGATGTTGTCAATAACTCTTGCAGGCAGTCCAGAGTTTTAAATTAAGTCATTACTAATCCGTCTCTGATATTAAAATGAGAAAAAGTTAAAAAGAATAAAAATCTCTAATTCCTAAATTCCTAATTCTTTAAAAAAAAGATTCCTAAAAAATTAATAAATTAATTCGGGCAGGCTCTATTATTATCAATCCGTAGGTCTGAGTCAACAAAGTCTAGCTGTCTTCTTCTGGATCTTGAGCCTCTCAAGCATAGTATCGCAGAACGTACGATGGCGAAAGATACTTTAGCTCTTATCTAGGAAATTGCGCTTGAGTAACTTTCTCCCTTCTTATTTGCCATCAGCTCCGCAAGTCTGCTACTTAACACGCTCATCCGCCATTCCGCCTGTTGTCATGAAAACTAGGGGAGTGAACGTTCCCTGTTCGATCTCCATTGCTCTTTCCGCATACTGCATCTTCTTCTCGTTCTCATGCTTCTTGTCAGGAGCTCCTGTTCTTGTACAGTCTGACAAGATACAACTAATAATACAAAAAAGCTAAGAAAACAAAAAAAAAGTGAAATAGGAATAAATGAATTGGACATGTATATTTGACACCATAAACGACACTGAGTAAATGGAAAAGGTAATCTGGCCTCTGTGAAGACGTTTTTTCGCTTTTTGCAGTCTTCCCATGATTCCATGCGGCAATTTTTCGCGGTTTTTCGCGTGTTACGTAGTCATTTTGGTTGCATCGTTAGCGTTAGAGATGATTTTTCAACCTTTCAAAGAGCTTGTTTGACAATTTGAAGTGAGTTTGTTTTGTTTCGTTTCTTTTGATTGGCACTGAATTGATATACTGAGCGAATTTTCCAAGCTATTAATGTATAATTAAATGCCTTATTTTCACGACAAAGAGAGCCGCTGAATGTTTAATGATGAAAGTATTGTCTTCACCGGTCACGGTCGGGTACTTCACGAAATCAGTTTGTTTATACTTTCCTACTACAATAGTCCAGGTTCTCTGAAACCATAATACTTTTTGAAGAGAGGAAGGGATATAATTTCAACGAATGACAATGTACCTCGTTGTACCTCAACGCAAAAATCGACAAATCGAAATTGAACAAGGCTGTTTTTTTAACCATTCGCAGACGACCGCGCGGCTTCTCGGGGTTGTCACTAGAATAAAAAGACATTAAGAAGATACTTCGGCGCAGACCCACCTGCGCAGTAAACTTAGAGTGAAAATATCTATAAGAATTATCTCTTTATATAACTAGAATAATAAACTATTTTCAAATAAAATTCAATAGCTGCGTAACGAAAAGTGCCCAGAAATTCACCGAAATCTCTTGCAGAAGTGATGCGTGCAATGTGAGTATCATAAAAGTCAACTTGGATGTTATACTCTCACGCTCCTGTTTTGAGCCAGTGTTATGAATGAACAAACACAAAACAATAGAAATTATTTCTTGAAAAATTTTATTGAAAAAAAATCCATTCGCGGAACACTAACTAGATCGTGGATCCAGTTTATGCAAGTATTGAAAGATCAGCTGAGCACACGGCAAATTTCAACAGAAAATCACGCCATCTCCAATCAGGGCACATTTTGTAATTTTTCTTCAAAATTCTCCAAAACGTCGCTGCCTGGGTTGCATTCAAAACAGGCCAAGCGCTCTCCACCGTGAAGAAAATAGGGTTGAATTCGTCGATAAACAATTTCATAATGAAATACTTTCCTTTGCCAACAAAAAGAAAAAGGAGCTTTCTTTTGGGCTTTTTCGATAACCTGTACAATGAATAGACATGTCACGCCGTCGACTTTATACAAAATTCGCCTTTTAGCTGTCAACATATACTGTAAACGCCTCTCCACCAAAGAACTGACAAAAATCAATAGGCCGAAGACCACATTGACTATTTTCGAATTCCCCATAATACACTCTGTCTGCCCCCCAAATTTTGCATAACTTATTGTCTTAAAATGCTCTTGGGAAAATGCAGTACTCCCAGGAGCATTTAAAAACAATGGTTTATGCAAAATTTGGGGGGCAAACAGAGTGTATTATGGGGAATTGGAAAATAGAGAATTCAGTCGTAAAAATTGCAGAGAAGGTACTGTCAAGTCGAACTTGGTATTCAAACCGCAAGAATGCAAATATATCACGTCTGTATCTTCCTTGAGGACGGGAGCTTGATGGAGTTGTTTACTTTAAAATACATCTGATCCAGCTGTATAGTGATGACGTCACAAACCAATTCGATAATATATGCAATGCATCATGGGAAGACTGCGTAATCCCCTTTCTTTTCTCCTCAGTGTAGCCCGGGTGAGCGTGCCTAATTTGATGATGTATTAAGAATAAAGTAGGATGAAACCGATAATCAGATGTCTTTTGCGATTTAAGTAATATCAAGTCGATAAAAAAAAAAATTGTTTTTTCATTTTTTACTTTATAGCCAGAGTGAGCTTCGGGCAAAGATTTACTGAAACTCGGATGGATATTTTCTTCACAAGTCAACCTTTTTTTTTTGAAAAGTTTGTCTTACTTCGAAAAGTATGTTTACTTTGTTAAAATAGTTTTAGTTTTTGTCCTCAATTTTATAAGTGATATTATCTTTATTCCAGGTGCATTCGTGCTCAGATGCTAGGGCAGGATTCCGGTCGGACTTTATGTAACATAATTATTAAACTATAAAGCTGTCAGTACACGAACATCTATGTACAACATCTCAGCTGGGAGTGCTTATACAACGTTAATGATGCCATGGTCAAAACAAAAGTTACTGTTCGCCTCTTACTTCTTTCTTACGGAAAGACGGAAGAAGGACAATATTGCTACAACACATCGAATTATCACCACCGAAGTGTTTCTATGAGAAATTCAAAACGGTGAATTTGTTTTTCCGTTTTTGTAGATAAATTTCCCAATGGTCTATTTTAGAGTTTATCTTTGCTATAACGACGACATTTGAACTTGCATAACAAGAGTATTTCTCAATGATAATCATTTTAGTTTTTAAAGAGGTTTGTCAGCATCTGTTGTTCATGTTTACATTGCAGCGCAGCTGAGACCCGGCCTTGGTGTGACTTGTTTTAATTAAAAATATTCCACGATCAGAAGTAATTGCTTAATTTTATTATATAAATATACTAGTTCATCTAGGTGAACGTACACGACTCGACAGCCATAATTCATTATTGCAGCTAGGATTCACAAGTTGTGTGTCCACTTATACGTCTTAATCGGGATTTGATTCCGAAGTTGCCTATACTGTCTCCTACGTCATTGCTGGGTTATGACATTCTCTGTCGGCTTCCACATGTTTTTTCATTTCTTAGTGTTCGACCGTTAACTTTTATACTCTTTCAAAAAAGAATGGCAAATCTTATTTCAAAATTTCTACATAAAAGGCTACTTTTGTGGAAACAATGAATCAGCCATTTGAGACAGCACGACAGTAACATGGGCTGGTGAGTTGGATCTGTTTACATCCTGCTAAGCGGGATAATTTTATAGTTGCATGGTCCTAGTTTCCATTGCACGTTTTAAAAACGGTAAACATTTATGGGCCAACAAGAGGAAACGAAGCATGTTCCAGTCTTTCAGATTCTTGACGAGCAGAGAGACAAAAATAAAACAGATGAGAGAATAGGAGAAGTAACTAATAGCAAGACAGAATTAATGAGGTTTATACGTTACATAATTTGCGCTCGTTCAAGGCTGCGTTAGCCTGAACGTTACGTAACCCACGCGAGTCTTCTCTATCCGGAGTCTCGTGCCGTTTTTCTCCCTCTCGCTTTGCTCAGTGATGCTTCCATGATCTAAAATATTGGAGCAGGCTTCTAAAATCAGTGTTATAAATCCGTCGTGTCGACTATGACCTTGAGAAACATAGTATCGTCTCGAACGTAGGCATGATCGTTTAACTCCGACAAAGGACAGAATGTAGGGCACCCGCTAGCGATGTTTGTTTCTCTTCTTGGTCTCTGGAAGGATGAGCTGTTTGGATCAGGTCTGAATGAGTCGATCACGTGTTCTACGTTATTCTGATCCAGCAGCATGAACGTTACCTTCTGTCTGAATGGCCAGCGGAGTAACGCATCGTACTCACCACGCATGACAACAAAGAATACTGAGATGTGTGTCCCTCTTCCAATACCATCACCATTCAAGTAGATGCGCGCGCACATCTTGTATCCATAGCGACTGGTAAAGAAGCACGGGCTGTAAAATGACGTCTGTTGCCCGCAGACGGCGTCTTGCCGTTTTTTAGCGAACTCGGTGATTTTCCAAAGCAAAATTCCATCGTGACTGGAGACTTCCTGCTGCCTTACAGATTCGTCCAAATCTGTCAGCATAACATTACGAAGTGCTAGTGAGTGACTCATGGACTCGAACTGTCTTTGTAGCCGATCAGTTGTTCCATTCGAAGACTCCTGTTGCCTGGCTACGGTAGACACCTTTCTCTGAAGTTCTTCATTTAATCTGTTTGCTTCAACGGGCAAAAGCTCGAGATTGGCCGTCTTTCCTTCTTCTGTAGTTAACCTCTGTAAAAGCTCTTTGGCGAGCGTTGAATCAAATGCTGATGCTGAGTTTGAGCTATTCTGTCTAGAACTTTCCAGTTGCCTTATTCTTTCTTCTTGTTGAACCAGTTTTGATTTGAGTTCTTCATTTTCTTTCAGTGTATTCTCAACTTGTTTAGCATAGCGTTCCAAATCTTTCTGTTTTGGTAGATTTACGCCATTCATTGACACGTGTCCAGATTCCCGCATGGTCCTACCAACCATCGAGAAGAGCTGCATTACGGTCTGAAAAAGGAGCATCAAGTGACCGGAAGCATTTTCCTCCTCATGCTTCCTTCGTTCTTGCAGCTTCATGGTCTAGAGAAAACGAAAACGACATAGTGTATTAATGCTGAGAATCGTTCATGAACGATTCTCAGCATTAATACACTATGTCGTTTTCGTTTTCTCTAGACTATGAAGCTGCAAGAACGAAGGAAGCATGAGGAGGAAAATGCTTCCGGTCACTTGATGCTCCTTTTTCAGACCGTAATGCAGCTCTTCTCGATGGTTGGTAGGACCATGCGGGAATCTGGACACGTGTCAATGAATGGCGTAAATCTACCAAAACAGAAAGATTTGGAACGCTATGCTAAACAAGTTGAGAATACACTGAAAGAAAATGAAGAACTCAAATCAAAACTGGTTCAACAAGAAGAAAGAATAAGGCAACTGGAAAGTTCTAGACAGAATAGCTCAAACTCAGCATCAGCATTTGATTCAACGCTCGCCAAAGAGCTTTTACAGAGGTTAACTACAGAAGAAGGAAAGACGGCCAATCTCGAGCTTTTGCCCGTTGAAGCAAACAGATTAAATGAAGAACTTCAGAGAAAGGTGTCTACCGTAGCCAGGCAACAGGAGTCTTCGAATGGAACAACTGATCGGCTACAAAGACAGTTCGAGTCCATGAGTCACTCACTAGCACTTCGTAATGTTATGCTGACAGATTTGGACGAATATGTGAGGCAGCAGGAAGTCTCCAGTCACGATGGAATTTTGCTTTGGAAAATCACCGAGTTCGCTAAAAAACGGCAAGACGCCGTCTCCGGGCATCAGACGTCATTTTATAGCCCGTGCTTCTTTACGAGTCGCTATGGATACAAGATGTGCGCGCGCATCTACTTGAATGGTGATGGTATTGGAAAAGGGACACACATCTCGGTATTCTTTGTTGTCATGCGTGGTGAGTACGATGCGTTACTCCGCTGGCCATTCAGACAGAAGGTTACGTTCATGCTGCTGGATCAGAATAACGTAGAACACGTGATCGACTCCTTCAGACCTGACCCAAACAGCTCATCCTTCCAGAGACCAAGAAGAGAAACAAACATCGCTAGTGGGTGCCCTACATTCTGTCCCTTGTCGGAGTTAAACGATCATGCCTACGTCCGAGACGATACTATGTTTCTGAAGGTCATAGTCGATACGACGGATTTATAACACCGATTTTAGAAGCCTGCTCCAATGTTTCAGATCATCGAAGCATCACTGAACAAAGCGAGAGCGAGAAAAACGGCACAGACTCAGGATAGAGAAGGCCTACGCGGGTTAAAGTTGATGCTAACACGGGATCAAATGAGCGCAACGTTTCAATCTCGCTCTAAGGACCCTCTCTTGATAGCACCTTCCCTTAATTAGTTTCGGTTTCAGAAAAAAATCAGGTTTTCAGATTCTGGAGGCAGTGAAGCTTGCGGGAGACTGGGGAGGGAAGGACGGGGAATTCGGGCAACAAGTAATCTCGATCTGGCATGCATTCCTCTATTTAGGACATTGTATTCGGATATGATACTGACTTTGTCTATTTTATAGACGTATAGTCTTACCTGGTTAAGTTCTAACACAGGTAGTTTTTATATATGGGTTATCTCACCATTAGGAGTTTTAAAAACTTTCATACGTAACGAACAAAAAAGAAGGAAACAACAACAACAACAAAAATACTAAAGAGAAGAAACATGCAGAAGTTGATAATGCCCTGTAATAACCGAATTAATAGTGAACTATGAGACGGTATAGGCAACTTTGGATTTGAAACGATTTGGAGACCTTTTTTTACAATTTGGAGACTTACATCATGAGTGGACAAACAACTTGAAAGTACGTCATACTTACAGTGAGCTATGGTGATCGTGTCGTGTATATTCACTGAGAAAAGTATATTTCTATATTTAATCTGTTAGACTATATATAGAAGGCATAATTATTAGAGGGGGTTTTACTCCGGGTGCTCCGGTTTCCCCCTGATAGTTCAAATCATGTCTTTATGGAATTGCTACCGATGAAAAAGAAAAGTAAAAAGTTAATTATTTGATATTCAGACTAGACTTGTCCTAGAAAGAAATCAAGAGAATCGATGAACTGAAAAACACAGTGAAACTTGGATGCAAGAGGCATGCAATGGAAACTAATACCAATGCTATTATTTATTATAAAATTATCCCGCCTTTGTGATATCCTGTTTAACAGGCTGTAAACAGATCCAACTCACCAGCCCGTGTTACAGTCGTGTTGTCTCTAATGATATGGAGATTATGTTTCCTCATAGGTAGTGTTATATGTAGAAATTTTCAAATTTTTTAAATGCTATTCTAAAAAAAATACCATAGTTAACGGACAAACACTAAGAAATGAAAAGACATGCTGAAGTTGAAAGAGACATGTAATTAATATACCAACAATGAAATATGAGGCAGTATGGGCAATTTCGGAATTTATTCACGATTTGGACGTTTAAGTGGACACACAACTTGTGAATCATAGTTGCAATGAGTTATGGTAGTCCGAGTCGTGTATGTTCACCTAGATGAGTTAGTATATTTTATTTTATCAATTGAACTTGTAAGTGCTACTTAAGTTAATAATTTAACAGAGTTCAGTAAGTAAAACTGTGGGGATCAGAAAAACGACACGAAGTGTCACGTTTGGATGGATTTTTGATATAACAAAAGGCTTTTCTTAACTGAGAAAGGAATATTGGGTAGACGGTAAGAATAAACTAATTGTAATTGTGAGATTTTTTTATTAAAACAAGTCATGCGAGGCCGGGTTTAAGTTGCTCTGCAATGTTATGCCCTAGGGATTGAAGAACTTTTAAAAATTGAAATGATTAATTATGCTTCATGTTCCTTTACATATTACGAGAGTTATTGATGTTGGCGGAGTCTCGAAAAATACTCTTGCTATACTAGTTCAAAGGTCGTTGTTTTAGCAATTACAAAATAATAATAAATAAAATAGACCGTAGGGAAATTTATCTACAAAAATGGAAAATTAAATTTCACCGTTCTGAATTTCTCACAAGAACAGGTGTTCATAATTCAGTGTGTTATGGCAATATTGTGACCATGACATCATCACATAAGCACTCCAAGCAGATGTTGTACATAGTAGTTGTTCGAGTAGAACAGCTTTTCAGTTAATATGTGACATTTGCATAGAGTCCGTCCGGAATCCTGCCCTGGCAGCTGAGCAAGATGGCACCTGGCATAGAAGAAATATCACTTATTAAAAATTTGGGAATAAAATTGAGTAAACAATTTTTAAAAAGTAAAACAAACTAAAAGACACATTTTCAGAAAAAAAGGTTGACTTGTGAAGGAAATACCCCTCCGAATTTCAGTAAATCTCAGCCGAAAGCTCACTCTAGCTATAAGCCAAGAGGTTGTATTAACTTGATATTGCTTGAATCGCAAATGTTATCAGATTTAAAGGTTTCATCCTACTTTGTTCTTAAAAGCAAATCATAAGAATAACTTAGGCACGCTCACTACACTGAGGACGAAAGAACGAAGCAAAAACATCTTTACAGAGGCCAGTTTACCTTTTCCCAACTCAGGTGATGTTAAATAGTGTCAAATGTACATGTCTAACTTAATCCAAACCTATTTTACTTTTTTCTTTTGTTTTTTTTCTTGGACTTTTTGACAACGTTAGTGCAATTAGGTTTATGTTGTCACTGGTAAAATACCACAACTGTTTTATTACAATCTTTCTAAGGGAGAAAACAGGAAAGACTTACCGATACAAACACTACTTGCAGTTAAGACATGCTCATAGACCCTTCCTTTTATGTAGTAAACTGCATGCGTCTCCTAAATCCACCATCCCTCATTAAATATCAGTCCCCCGAAGAAACTGACGAGAGCCGGCTTTTATGTAAAGTCAATCATAAAAAGAATTAATTAATCTTATCCTTACTCCGAGACACCGTCGTTCATCATGTTGCACTGGGAGACGCCGACGCTCGAACCGTCTTGGTGTTCCTTCTTCTGCTTTGCTCCTTCTATCCCCTTCAATTTCCAGTCTCTGTCCTCTGTTTACTCTTTGTTGTTCTTCCCTTGTCGCGCTCTCTACGAGGAAACCTCTGTGCTCACGGCAGGTTGCTGTAAGAGCCAAGTACATTTTGAAAACACAGAGCAATACGATCAGCATCACGATAAATGAGGCGACGCAATAAATATGCTCGAACATCATTGCTATGTTTCTGGTGGTCAGTGAAGCAACGGGATGAATGAGAAATAAACTTGCTCGAGAAACTTGGTTTATTTGTAGTGCTTGAAAGGTCAGGCTGTAGCTCCTTGTCGTGACTGCTCAGTCATTTTCACCGATACAATTATCCATGGCGTATATATTCAACTAACACGTGAAGGAAATCAACATAGACCGCCAATCAGCCAATCACAGAACTCGAACTGTCCGGGAAAGCCCCTAAAAGTAATTCACCTCTTCACCTTGTGTTTTGTTTTCATCCCAATACAGGTCATGTGATAATACCATTACTAGAGAACTGTTTCTTCCAAATAGACTTTTGCAATGAGGGTAATTCAACTACATTTAAATATTAATTTAACTTTTATTACGTGGTAGCCCGTAGAAGGGGCTAAGGGTAATTACATCCAAGTTTGTTTCTCCCGGGCGGTATTCACCACAATATTTAATACAGCCTTTATAACCCTTCCGGGTGCAAGAATTCCAATATACTAGTTCAAAGGTCGTTGTTTTAGCAAAAAAAAAAAAGAACTAAAATAGACTGTAGAAGAAGCAGTCACAAACAAAGTAAATACCTATAATACTTCCGCGTGAAAGAATTACCATATACTAGTTCAAAAATCGTTGTTTTAGCAAAAAAAAAAATAATAAAACTAATAATAAAATAGCCTATCGGAAAATAATTTTACAATAATGGACAATCAATCTTAACCNCATCATTGCTATGTTTCTGGTGGTCAGTGAAGCAACGGGATGAATGAGAAATAAACTTGCTCGAGAAACTTGGTTTATTTGTAGTGCTTGAAAGGTCAGGCTGTAGCTCCTTGTCGTGACTGCTCAGTCATTTTCACCGATACAATTATCCATGGCGTATATATTCAACTAACACGTGAAGGAAATCAACATAGACCGCCAATCAGCCAATCACAGAACTCGAACTGTCCGGGAAAGCCCCTAAAAGTAATTCACCTCTTCACCTTGTGTTTTGTTTTCATCCCAATACAGGTCATGTGATAATACCATTACTAGAGAACTGTTTCTTCCAAATAGACTTTTGCAATGAGGGTAATTCAACTACATTTAAATATTAATTTAACTTTTATTACGTGGTAGCCCGTAGAAGGGGCTAAGGGTAATTACATCCAAGTTTGTTTCTCCCGGGCGGTATTCACCACAATATTTAATACAGCCTTTATAACCCTTCCGGGTGCAAGAATTCCCATATACTAGTTCAAAGGTCGTTGTTTTAGAAAAAAAAAAAAAAGAACTAAAATAGACTGTAGAAGAAGCAGTCACACACAAAGTAAATACCTATAATACTTCCGCGTGCAAGAATTCCCATATACTAGTTCAAAGATCGTTGTTTTAGCAAAAAAAAAATAATAAAAATAATACTAAAATAGCCTCTAGGAAAATTAATCTACAAGAATGGAAAATCAAATTTAACCGCTCTGAATTTGATAGTAAGATTCGCTTCTCTAAACTGAACGGGGCAAGTTATAAAACCAATTCAAAACTTAACGGATCGATGGTTTATTGTCTAGGTGCGTGTTCCTTTTCCTGTTCTGTCAAATACCAAAATTATGCCGTCACTTTCAGCTTATTTTTTATTAATCGTTCATTTGCAAACCAAAGTGAGTTAACGGTTCAAAAGAAATTACTTTGATTTAATCATGTGTAACTTCACGCCTGAGAGCTTAAGAATAGACATCAGTAGTGTTGAGTTCTGTACATGTTGAACACGGCTCCTTTCTTAACATAGCAAAAACAAAACAAGATAAACATTGAGAGATTGTCTAAACGTTTTGCTTCAAAACTTTCCATTTAAATAGCCTGCAAAACCCTCTTGGACTTAATTGTTATTATTTGTCTTTATTCAGACAGCTTCGTCTGGTCCATAAAAACGGTGAAGGAAATAAAATGGGTTGTTTGAGCTTGACCTAAACGTTAAA